TTTTAATTTTTGTGTTGTGGGGATTGAATAAAGCGACTTGAACATGCTAGGCAAACACTCTATCACTGACTGAAATCCCCAGACCTATACTACAGAAATTTAGAACTGGAAAAATATATACCAAAAGTTTTATGCCCACGTTTGTTTCCACATCTCAGAAGGATGACATCCTATCACTGGTGGGAGCTCACACACTTTAGAGACAAATGAAAATTATCATTAAAACAAGTGTTGTGCCATTATAAAACTAGTGGGAACAGGAAAGAATCTTAAGTCCTTGGACTGTTCAAATTTTTGGCGGAGGTGGGGAGGTATTAGGGATCGAACTTAGGGACACTTGACTACTGAGCCACATCCTTAGCTCTATTTTGTATTTTATATAGAATCAGGGTCTCACTGAGTTGCTAAGTGCCTCCCTATGCTGAGGTTGGCTTTGAACTCAGATCCTCCTGCCTCAGCCTCCAGAGTTGCTGGGATTACTGGTGGGTGCCACTGCACCTGGGTAGACTGTTCATTTTAATCTATGTAAATTATGAATAAAAGTAGTTCCCCCCAGGAGGGTTATTACACATTCTTAACAAGTTCCTTAATTTTTAAAATTTAGTTCAATAGCTCTTTTGTGAATTTTAAAATTAGTTCCCTATACTCTATAATCTTTCTTCCATTTATTGTACATATTTATTTTCATAAATAATATAACATATTGATGTACTACTTTATTGTTCATGAAGCTATTAAACATGTATTATCTCATTTGGCTTCATAACTATCACATGAGGTTGTGCTATGATTAGTTTCATTTTAAAATGGGGAAATGGAGCTTCTCAAGGGTTAAACCACTCACTGAGGCCACAAGACAGAACTGTGAATCAAACTCAGTTCTGAACACTGGTTCCCACCTGTTCATTCCATAGTCACAAACTAACCAGTGTAGAAAAGTAAAAGGTATAGGGCAGATTGATCGGATTGAGACAATAGCCAGAGAATAATGAACTCATTTACAGGAACAAAAGATTTAGCCTTCTAGAAAACACCAAAGAGTATTCCAGCTTTTACCATTTCTACATGGGACCTCTGAAAAGCTTTAAGTAACCAAATAAATTATACATTAATTTATTGATTCACTGATGCACCAAGAATTTGAGCATCAATACAGTATCAGACTTCCAGATACTACTGGCCATGATAGACACAGTGGGATATGAATTCTGTTCTTGGGAAGCTTGCCCCTTCTGGCATGCATCAGAGTTCGAGACCACAATGTTATCAGGGCAAGGGGTGCCAAGCAGGGAGGGAGGTGCTCTGCTGGGACAGGCTGGAGCCTCAGAGGACTTGACACCAGTCCTTAGCGGTGTAGGAGGAGACATAGACTGGGTGTGGGCTGTCCCACAGAGGACAACGTGAGTGAAGGCGTGCCAGGCCCAAGAGTGCATGTTTAAGGACTGCGTGGACAATACTCCATTTTCATTCTTCTCATTCTCCTTGGAACCATAGAATTTTGCTTTGTTACTTATAAAGTGCAGAAAAATAAACCCACTCTGAGCCTGATTGGATTTTTCTCCAAAGTTAATACAGTTCTGTTGTTGATTGTTGTGACTTGAGCAGCATATAAATAAATATATTTGATATAATCTGGGGAGAGAAACATAATTTTCATTCCTTCCTACCTGTAAAATAATTTGATATATTTATGTTTATTTTTCTCTCTTTATTTTCCCCTTTCCTTCCCTCTGACATACGCAGATTGTATTTTAAAACTTAGATTAGGTAGAAAGCAGAAGTGGACTGCCCATTTTTATGGCTTCTGTATTCTAACACAGCTAGTTTGCTAAATCAGTAAACTTTTTCTATACAGGAACAAATAGTAAATATTTTATTTAGACTTCATGAGCCAATGGGTCTTTTTTGAAATTAACTCAGCACCACCTTGTAGTGCAGAAGCTACCATAGAAAATACTGTGTAAGTGTGGCTGTGTCTCAATAAATCTTGACACATTGACACTGAAATCTGAATTTCATATCATTTTTACAGTCAATACAGTTCTTTTAAATTTTTTCAACTGTTGGAAATTTGAAAAGAAAAAAAAATTATAGTTTGTCAGCCCTACAGAAACAGGTTGCACAATTTTCTAGTTATTTAGCATCTTTAGGAGAACCTATGAGAGTTTGCAGCACAAGGAAGCAAATTCAGCAACAGAGCAATCTTGAAAAAGTTTAGAAGAGAATGGGGCTTCATTTCTTGA